TCTAAGTATGGTAAAATCAATGAAGAATACAAAATCCGTAGTGCTTTCCCGTCCAAAATATATCTAACCCTTGCCAATATCTATATATTTTTTGCTATTTTGTGCTGAACATATCTGATATGAGATTTCCAGGAGAATTTGTCATCAACTATGACACCTAGAAATTTAATTTCATATACTCGTTCTATATTAGCTCCCCCAATTTTCAATTGAAGTTCATTATCTAGTCTACGATTGCCAAATACCATAAATTTAGTTTTATCCAAATTCAGAGATACTATATTACTGTCACACCATTTCTTTATCTTCTCAAGTTCCTGTGTAACCCGTCCAGAGAGTTGCTGTAGGTTTTCACCCGATGCCCATATGGTAGTGTCATCAGCAAATAAAACCACTTTCACTAAATCAGAAACCTTACATATATCATTGATGTATAATATAAATAGTTTAGGTCCCAAAACAGAACCCTGAGGCACTCCACATACAATGTCCAGCTCACTCGATTGGTATTCACCCAACTTCACAAATTGACGCCTCTGTGTCAAATAACTTCTAATCCATTTCAGAACCATTCCTCTGATCCCATATTTTTCTAACTTATCCATTAATAACTCATGATTGATTGTGTCAAATGCTTTTTTTAGGTCAATAAATATTCCCATCGTATATTTCCTCTCATCCATAGCACTTGTTATGTCCTCCATTAGGTCAGTAATGGCCAGAGATGTCGATCGGTTTGACCTAAAAGCATATTGGCAATCAGAGAGGATATTATGTCCCTCAATAAATGTGTCTAATCTGTTATTAAAGAGTTTTTCCAAGATTTTTGAAAACTGTGACAACAGAGAAACTGGTCTATAATTTGTGAAGTTGTGCTTATCCCCAGATTTATACAATGGAATAACCTTTGCTATTTTCATATTATTGGGGAACTGACCAAGTCGAAACGACATGTTAAAAACATGGGTTAATGGTTTGCATATCCCCTCGATTGCCCATTTACTAAACAAAAAAGATTTATGCACTTAAAACTCAGTTTTGACATACGTGACAGGATGCGGTTCATAATAGGTGGTACTGTTGGGGCTTTCTTGAAGTGGCTCAGGTGACGTCTGCCTCTCTTCTGGCTCCTCTTCAACTTCCTCTTCTGATTCTAAGTAAGAGAAAGAAACTATTTGAGCTGTTTTAACACCCCTCACATTCAACCATGAACTAAAAATCTACCAGTAAAACAAGTCAGGGGACATTCAAGAATATCTTACCCTCATCAAGCTCGGCTTCAGAATCTCCAAAAACCTCATCTTCATAACAAAAGATGTCATTGTGGACATAGAATTTGTTTGCCACAGAGCCCTGAAACAAATTAGCCATGCATAAAACATCTTTACTGTTCAAGGCTGTCCATTAAAAAAAAAAAAAAAAAAACACACAAAGCCAATCACATATTAAATTTGGCATGCTGTTGCATTTACAGGGTGTCTTTTTGGAATAATTCCATTATAGTAACAGCAAACCATCTCTTTTAACCTGTTCAAATAAGATGTCAAAATTTCCTTCTAACAATTTACAATTAAGTCACTGAAACTTAAACACTCAAGATTCTTATAGCTGTTATAATTCAAACTCAGTTCCTGTTATCTGCATACAAAGGGAGAAGTACTCACCTCTGGAGCAAGCACAAAAGTTTGCATGAACTTCCTCATGGGCTGGCCATTATTCGACAGTTCGCCAAGGACTTGCACTACCACCCCATCACTCAATGTGGCATGAGCATCCACATGCCTGATCTTTGTGTGGCATTCACTAAATTGCAAAGACATGACCTTCTTGTGGATTTCCTGGAGACACAGAGACATAATCTTGTCATTTAAAATGATATTTCCTGTTGTTTGACACCAACATGTTCTTTGGTATTGTGCATTTAACCGATTAGGACCACAGTGGTTCAGGTTTTTGTTGAATGAAACTTTTTTCATTCCCAAGACAAAATAAAGCAAAATAAAATAAAAATAAAAAGCTCAGACCAGTTTCTGGAAAAGAACACTTGTACTTTTAGCAAACCCTTGTTGATGTGCTACAATTAATATTAGTTAACAGTTATTAACATTAGTCCACATTTATTTCAAGACTTAAAGGTTTAAAATGCTGCTGACCTGATTAGGCCCCATACATCCCTTTTTATTTGCTCATAGTTTTACACTGACTTATACAATTTTGTGTTATGTAAATAATGTGTCCTTTAAGCCAAGAGCTGCAAGAAAAAAAAATTCGTTGTGCTATGCATAATGGCAATAAAGATTCTTGACTTGACTTAATCACAAAGTTGGCAGTCAGTTATGATCTGAGGCCAACCATGTTGTTTACTTTCACATTCATGTCTCAGTTCAACCCTAAAGGCAGTATAATTAATTATTTGTCAGAATTAATCAACAGAAACCATGTAATGTGGAATAATAATAAAAGGCTGCTGAGAACAAAGTTTTAAACAATGTAATTATCATGCTAGCACTGCTTCTTTCCTTAAAAGTTCCCATTGATTTATTATTTATGTGTTCAATTGAATGATAAGAATACTTATATTACAACCACTACAAGTAATTAAATATTTCTGAAGTGAATCTTTATGATTGGACCATAGCACATACCGCTTGTCCATACACTGCTTCTGCCACTTTCCCATTTGGATCAAGTCCTCCATGAACATAGGACGAGTTCCTCCCATAAAACCTAAAAGGTATAACAATATCACAGAGAGTATTACTAATGACTACAAATTTAGCATTTAACACATGATATTTTGAAATTTACCTGTGCAGGAAATCTGGTGCCTTGTTTAAGAGTGTGTAATACTGCCTCACAAACTCCCGCCCTACAAGCAGGGGACTTGGCTTCTCCATCACCATTTCTTTGGTAAACAATATTAAGTGCTGAAACAGAAGGCAACCCGAGATTTAGACTGAAATTCAATCAAACTACAACACAAATGTATACGCACAGCATTGACAGTTTTTATGGCACACATTTCTAATTATGTATACTATAACAAACCTGCAATAAAATGTTTGTGTTAGTCTGAAATGAATTTCTAATATTCTAACATTTTATTACTCTGTATGCAAAAGGACCACAAATTAATTACAGCCTCAAATATTACCATAAAACTGAGTTTTAATAACAAGACAAACAAAAAACGGCTACATGAATTCTTTTGAGGTCAGGTCATTTGACAGGATGCCCATGGTACGCATTAACGTTTATTGTGCGTCATGCAAATAAAACAGCTGTGTCTGAGCAGGAGGTACAGCGAGTAAAGGGCCAAACAAAACGTTAACACAACATCGTTTCATCCTTTCTACAGCAAGTGTAAAAGACGAATTAAAACCGTACATCTTTTCACTTTCTTTGTCTCATTAGGCCCATCTTTCACCTGACCCACATCAATTCTGTGGCAGAAGAAAGACATCTGTTTGCTTAGCTACCTGGCTAAAACACAAGCTAACATCCAACTGCGCCATCGCGTTCATCCAATGAGACAAAGAAGGAAACCGGTTGTAGATAGGAAGAAAGCGACTGGTGCAGGCGTTCAAATTAGGCATCGTAAAAAAAAAACTTTAAAACGCTTACAACCTAGTTTTGAAATTACACATCTCATAAACCTCACACACATATCTGAGCATCACATTGTAAAGTTAACTAGATTAGTGGCCTACTATATGAGGCCTCTCACGTCTATGCTAACATGTTGCAATCTCTCTCCAATTGTCTCGTGTTTATTAGCGATATGACATGACATTTTCCATAGTTTATACATTATGTAGTTTATAGAAATTTCGGCAGCACTGAGACCCAACATTATCTGTTTGGTCACCGTTATATGTACTGTAAAAACGGAGGGAAGAATGATGATAATCTGCCGGCCTCTTCGTTGTCATCTTAAATGGCTAACGCTAGCCCAGTAAACAGGACAGAAACGCCAAGCTTGCGACATTGCTAGTTAGCTGATATTAGCCCCAGCTAACTTGTGGCGTCGTCGTTTTTCCTTGAGCCGGTGACCAATTTTACATTGAACAAGAGCAATATAATTTGAGAAACACATAAACGTTGCCGATCAACACAAGTAAATCTACAGCTAAAGAGATGTCAGTTCGCTGTACCTTCAGACAAACAACCTGAACGTTCACTGCAAGTGGGGAAAAACCATCAAGCCGACAAACCTAGCGATAGCCATTGTAACTTCCAATAAAGTATATCGATGTTATCATAGTACAACTAAAAATGATCAATAATCACCTACTTATTTGTAACCAATTGTATCATAATTGTTACAAACGGCAAGCACTATATGACTTACCCGAACTTTACGCTAAATTACCCACAACTCATCAATGAACAAGTTAAATGCTACAGCTGCTAGTTCACGAAACAAAGGCAGATTTGACAAATTTGGTTGATTCTCAGAAAATTCAAATTAACTAGATAAATAACCTAGACTGTTTGTACACCAGGGACACACCTAGGTGGCAACTTTGGTTACTAACGTTACCTGTCTATCGACTAGTCTCGTTTTGACTAGACAATGCAGCTAGCTTGTCAGTCATTTAATAGCTGATTTAGCTTGGAGAATGGCTAACTTACCTTATGAAAGACCTATCTATGTAGACAGAATTGTTTGTATTAAATACTAACAAGTAAACTGTTCTAAAATGCAGCGTATCCCAGGTAAACTAATCAACTATTTCCCACGCTCCACTAACAGTTTATGATCTCTGCTGTACCAGAGACTGAAGATTTAAAGTGATAGGTTGGATTTATTGTTGTACCCCTGCAATCTGGGGCAGGGAACCCCCCCATCACAAAGATTTAGCCAATGGACTGTTTACACTAGACAGCATAAATTATGATGCCCGACGCGTAACCACACCCCCAAACCTTGTACTGATTAATCTAAAAATGATTATACCTGTAGAAGGGATTCACACCTATAATAACATATGCGCCAAAATTCTGTGTTCCGTGCATTTTAGCTCACATGTAAGTCGAAAACTGATTGCGCAACAAATACTTCTTTATATGGATATGAGCATAATTTTGTTGTCTTATTTTTCTCTGGAGGAGCTTAATAAAGTCTAAAAACTCAAATTTCGTTAGTGATATTTTATTCATTTAACTTTTTACACACTTTATTGTTGTAAATTTTATTTTAAATGAATAAAAAGGTTTTTAACCCTTCAATCTGCACTCAATTACCCATAAAAACAAAGTGAAAATATATTTTTGGACATTTTTCTAAATTTATTAACATCCAGAAACTGAAATCTCACCTTTATAAAAGTGTTCAAACCCTTTACTGTGGCATTCCATAGTGTGGGCTTCTTCTCCTTCTTCTTTGGTTAAGCAAACTAGACACTACAAAAGTGTGCTGTCCTCTGCTAGGTCTCATTTGTTGCTCCTTTTTTATCAGTCCTTTAAATTTTACTGTAGCTATAATTAAATTGTGGTCATGCTTCCTGTTTGCTTTAGAATGTTACTACACTCTTGTTGCTAACATGCTGCTGACCTGATTAGGTCCCATATATCCATTTTTATTTGTTCATATTTTTATATTGACTTATACAATTGTGTGTTATGTAAATAATATGTCTGTCTTTTAAGCCAAGAGCTGCCGGAAAAAATTTGTCATGCTATGCATAATGACAATAAAGACTCTTGACTTGACTTGGCTTGAGTAATCACTGAGGTCTGTCTGGAACTTGATGAACCCACCTATTGCAAATTGAACTGATTGGACATAATTTAGAAAGGCATAGAGTCAAAGTCAGATTTGAAGGCTTTCTTTCAAATTAATGCGACTAAATACAAAGAGCTTTGAAGAAAACCTGCTCGAGAGAGCATGCAACCTGAGACTGGGTTGATATCCTTCACCTTTCACATGGTTCACAACAACTCTAAGCATACAGCCAAGACAACAATGGAGTGGCCTTGGAACGAGTCACAGTTCTTGAGTGGCCCAGCCAAAGCCCAGATTTAAACCCCATAGATATTTAACTTCTATGCTGTCAATTAATGAAGACAAGAGCCATAATGTAAATTATTAGCAGTATTAGAATCGATTGCTTAAATAGAATCTTCTTTGTTTGTTCAGTTTATGAAAGTTCCTGATGGAAACAAATTTAAGTATCTTTTGATGTGAACTTTGTATTTCCCATGATGTGAAACAGGCAGGCATGGATATATAATAAATAAATATCAGATTTATTTATATCAATAAATGTCACAGATGTGGTTGTTAAGTAATCAATGTCAAAATCAAAATGTCAACATGATTATTACACAAATACCATAAGTTAATAACTAATGACCTAAACAAAAGTACACCAAGCTGTCCCTGAATTATTAAACTGGGTCATTTAACTTCACATACTTTTATTGCTTTCTGTTTCATACCTGCTCCTTCAGGACAGCTGCAAAAAGGGTTAGTCATAAAGTGAAATACTATATAGAGACCAAACAAGCATAAACAGCTGCTAAATGACTGCAGTCTTTTTCAGCTCCTTATGAGTGGTTTGGGTGCCATGGTCTGTGCCCATGGAGTCTATTTTCTCAAAATCCGCCCATGTGTATAGCACTGAAATGCCTTGTTGTCATAGCAACCGCTGACCCAAACACACAGAGATTGTGCAATCTTTATGTTAATCTAATAGGAAATACTATTATAAGCAAATGTCTGTTGGGTGTCATAAAGAGATAAAAGCGTTCTTTTTAAAACTTTTTAAAGAAAACTTAGGGGCATTGGGGAATTATGATTTTTAGGAATCAGCACAAAAATCGCACGCCAATTAAATAAAGGCGTTAAATTATGACAACATTTAATAAAGGTTGATCCAATTGATATTTCAGTGAAGTAAATGTTTCCACAGACGTATTTTCCACCCATTACTGCGACGCCATGACTTCTCATGTAATCTGAGTCCAGAACAAATGAGAGTTTTGGGGAGAACACTTCAAGAACAAGATGGCTGTCCTGGGACAAGAAAAGTATATTCTTCTTTCTCATAAACACGACATTTAATGCGGTTGTGAATTATGTTGTTATAATGTAACACCTTTATACGCATTAAATGCATCGCTTTAGAGCAAGGGACGTCGTTTTTGAGGCGCAGTTGATGCTCGTTTGATGTTTTCCGAAGGAAAGTTTTTTTTAACGGTTTAGCGGTGATAAACTGCTAACGCTGAGGAGCAGACTAGCACCAATTAGCTAGCCAAATGTCTCAAATGTGACTTTTACATACCCATAAGGTTTTGTGAATGGGTTAATTTAGGTGGTTACTTTTCCAATTGTTTTGTTGTGGTTCGGAGTTGAAGCGAAACGCCCCGAAATTCCTCGGCCGTTATGAGATACTGTCAGAAATTTTTAGCGCTTTTGAATAACGTTTAGATTTTTCAGATGCTCCTCATCAGATAAAAAACATAGATAACTGGACCATGAGCTCATCTCGAGTCAGACCCCAGCAGTTACCGCAGAGCCAGCCTGCCAGGTTACCGCACAGACTGGACTCTAGCGAGGGGATAGAGATGGAGAACATCCAACATCAAGACCTGAGACTCGGAGGTGTCATAGGCACTCCGTCCCCTCCATCCAGACAAGCATGGAGTCGGGACAACCCGGGTTTTGAGCCCGAGGATGAGATTATGGAAGCCGACTGGCCTCCGGCAAGTCCCGGGAGGAGGTCTGTCTCAACGGCCTCCAGCAACAGCTGCAGCAGCGGTCTGGGCAGCTACACCGGCGGGGGCAGCAGCACCCACATCCCTCGAGGAGGACTCTACCCTACCCCAAGTGTGGATGCCCAGCAGCAGGACAGGCATGACCACCCCAGCTGTATGAAGCAGATACTCCAAAAAGTCAGAAGTTAGTCACTTTCTTTACACTTTGTAAATGCTCTTTTGTTGGCATGATGAAGTCTCCTAAAATGGTTTACTATTACAGATCCATAACAACTATGATAACGTCTAAGTAAAAGGAAATGTAGGTTTGCCAACCAGGCTAGTTTTTCACTGCACAGTAAGCCACTGATCACAAATTGTAGCTTTTAAGAAAGACTTGTTATTGGAAGAGTTACTCTCCCCACTGTTTTTGTAGCTACTGTAACTCTTAGGCTACCATTGTTCAATATGAAATAGAAAAACTGCTGTTAATAATAATGATGATCTTTACATAACACTTTCCAAAACTCCACAGATTACAAAGCTGTGTACAAAAGGCAGTATGTTAGACAAAAATCAACAATCACATGATTAAATAAAACAAATCAAAAAGAGAATTGTGAGATACCAAAAGACATTTCCAAAAATTAGTATAAGCTCTCTGATAAAGGTGTGTTTTAAGAAAGTCTTTTATCATCAGCACCTATTCTCTGCATGGAATTAATGTTATAAAATGCTGTCTGTCATCTAATGCTTCAGTGCAAAACAATCACAGAGACACAAAATGACTGCAAAGAGGCCAAAATGACCATAAAGAGATGCAAAATGCCTGTCTTAGCCAATGCACATCTGCTCTTTATAGCCCAATACTTGAATCTGTAAATTGTAATCCAATATTTATGTAACTATATGCTTATGCCCTCTTGAACTTGTTTCCTTTGCAGATCTGTGGGGCACAGAGCTCATGGAGGACAGTGACAACAGTCGAGAAAGATACCTCAGAAATATACTGAGGGAGATGCTCACATATATCGCATTCCTCATCACTATTTCTATATGTAAGTATAGGCTCAAAAATCCAGTGAAATGACATCTTTAATATATTGATAAACTTGTCAGTTATTGTGAACACAAGCATTAAACATTCTTCATTCTTAATTGTTGATTAAAGCCTGTGGCAAAACAAATCATATATAGGCAAATACTTCCTCAGTTGGGAATTAGGACCTGTGGTGTAAACATAGCCTTACTGAGAGAACGGTTAATTGTCCTAGGTACATGACTACAATATGTACATCATTTTTGGTGACATATCCATAAAGAAATTGCTCATGCCCTGGAAGGTACAGTACAGTAGCCCTAGGCTAAACTGGATTGACAGTTGGTCCAAGTGACTCACAGAAAGTTCTTTGCAATGTTTAAATGGCCAAACCAAATATGCCTGGGCATTTTTCCTGATGCTGAAAAGTTATTTTCCAGACTCACAGTGTATGCTTTATGGCTTTGGCAGCTGAAAATCTAATCTCCCACTTCTCAGAGGGGTTAAATTCCAAAAACAGCACAAAGTCCATTTCGACATGGCAGGAAGAATTAATAAAAAACTAAAGGTACAGTCTCGCTACTTACGTTTCTCTTCTGAAATAAAAAATGCCAAACTGTGGTTTAGGGTGGATCAGGAAATGATTTCACAGCAGACTGTATTAAGGCATATTCTGCCAGGCAGAGCTTGTCTATTTAAAGGAATTTCCAGAATAACTTCCTGATGAACGCATAGGTGAGACATAATTAAGTTTAATCTAACTCAGAGTACATTTTTTGTGTCCGTCAAGTCTTTGCAGGGTCATACCGGATTTAAACAGCACAATTACGCACATGCAAAACATTCACGCAGTGTTAACTCTCCTGTTTTATTCTGCTTCCTGTGGCTGTTGTTGCTGTAGCTGGCGCTAATAGGAATAGCACTTTCTACATATGTTATGTGATTTGCTCTGCAGTGACTTATGGGATGGTGAGTGTCAATATGTACTACTACACTAAAGTCATGTCTCAGCTTTTCCTGGACACACCACTGTCTGCTGGGGACCCTTCCACTTTCAAGCATTTGTCAACCATGGAGGATTTCTGGAAGGTAGAATGCAACATTCATTTTAGTCTTTGCCTGAAATGTTTTGTCAAGCTAACTAAAATGCCTTTTTATTTAGGCTTTGATTTTGAATCATTGAATTATATCTTGAGAAAGGAGGCATTTGCAGGTCAGATGTACAGTTTGCTGTTTTTGCTTTCTTAACTTAACATAATGACTGGAAACAGAGAAACATTTAGCCTAGCTCTGGCCTAACAACATCTGCCTACCACCGCCTAATTTGTGGGCTTCAGAACTGCTGGTCTGGTTTGGTTGATTTTGTTACCTTCAGGTAGAACTAGACTAGCTGAGTCTCCCTTTTTTGCTTTATACCACACTAAATATCTCAGGAAATGCACATCACAGTTGTAGTTTCTGAGGTCCAAACACATTGGTAACTGCACAGACGATAAAGAAACTGAAAAAAAAAAACAGTGAAGACAGCCAAACAGCAAGTCAAAATAATAAATGTTATTTATTGTACAAACACTGAGAAAAAAAAACACCATAAGGTGTCGTTTCTGGCCTCTTCTGTACCATAATGTTGACTGTTCTAAACTTGCAGTTCACAGAGGGACCCTTTCTCAATGGCATGTATTGGGAAGTGTGGTACAACAACAAGACCCTACCAGCGAATCAGAGTCTCATCTATTATGAGAACCTCCTCCTTGGGGTGCCACGCCTCCGGCAGGTCAGGGTCCACAATCAGTCCTGCACCGTCCATGAAGATCTGAGAGATGAGGTGCAGGACTGCTTTGGCATGTACACCCCAGCCAATGAGGACACCTCTTCTTTTGGCCCTAAGAATGGAACTGCGTAAGTCCACTTATAATGCCGTGCAAACTTGATAACTGAACATGGCAAAAAGAAACACACTTTTTTACTTAAGATAAGTTACAAAACGACTTTTATACTCTATTTCATAGAAGCCTTAGGCTGTATTATATGTAATACACTAACAAATGTCTACAGCCTCATTTTTCATCTTGGTGTCTGTCAGCTGGGTCTATACAGCAGAGAGTAAGATGAATGGGAGCAGTTACTGTGGCCAGGTATCCAAATATGGAGGTGGAGGATACCACCAAGATCTGTCTCGTACAAAAGAGGAATCAGCAGTCCAGCTGCAGTTTCTCAAAGACCACCTGTGGCTAGACAGAGGCACCAGAGCGGTGTTTCTGGACTTCTCTGTCTACAATGGAAACATCAACCTCTTCTGCATCGTTAGGTGAGAATAACCTGTCACAACACACCCATTTAAGTCAAGTCAAGTTTCAGGTTTGTTTACTGTATATAGGCCAATATGACATCACAACTTGCCTAAAGGTACTTTACAACCTGCACAGTACAGTGTATATCATCTTCTATTCTTAGACCCTCAATTTGAGTAAAATCTCTTGAAAAATCCTTTATCACAAAATAATTTAGTTCTGCGACTTATGATTATTTCAGATGTACCTATTTGAGACCATGATGATATATGGAATTGAACCATGGCATCCAGTAGAAACCACTTCAACAAAGGATTCTTCAAGAAGTCACCAAATTTACATCTAACTTTTGGCTTATCTGACAGTAATAACAAAACTAGAAAAGGCAGCACTTTCTGAAGAACATTTAAGTACACTTGCTGGTGGAAAGCTGCAGTAGAACAGTTTACACTTCACTGCAACACATAGTGGTTGTCACTTATTCATTCGTTCTTTCATCTTCTATATCGCTCATTACCAAACGGGGTCGCGGGGCGGTGGGTGGGTCTGGAGCCAATCCCAGCCAGCAATCGGGCGAAGGCAGGGTAACACCCTGGACAGGCTGCCAGTTCATCACAAGGCCGACATGCAGACAAACAACCACTCACACGCACAGATTCACTCCTACGGGCAATTTAGAGTCACCAATCAACCTAAGCTGCATGTCTTTGGACAGTGGGAGGAAGCCGGAGTGCCCGGGGAGAACCCACGTAAGCACGGGGAGAACATGCAAACTCCGCACAGAAAGGTTGTGAACCCGCAACCTTCTCGTTGTGAGGCAACAGCGCCACTGTGCTGCCCCGGTTGTCACTTATTCTTCGATTAATCCAATAATTACTACATCCATAAAAACTCAGAAAATGCTTGTCACAACTGCCTTGTTTTGCCGTACAAACAACCAACAAACCACACATGTATTCAGTAGGCCTATAGAATGATATAAAACAGAGAAAGGCGCCAAAAAGCATCCTGGAAACAGTGATTGTTTGGCATGATCCTTGATAAATCCCTGAAATGATTAACCAGTTGTGAGAACATCTCAAGAAAATGTCTATTTTCTGTTCATTAACAATTAAGTTAATAGTGTTTTACTTTTTACTTAGGGCATACCACCATTTTTTGACTTGTTCTGGAGAATATAGAAAACACTGCTGCACCCATTTGTTTTTCAGCACAGAAGAAGCACTGGAAGAACTTGTTCGTTCTTATAAATACAAAAATATACCTTTCCTTCCAAAATGTGATTAATGAGCATTGTAAATGCTAAAACAAAATGATTATTGATTTACATAGCTGCACTTCATTTTCATTTGTCTCCACAAAATAAGAATCCCAGTTTGTAAATACCATTGTACGAACACTGATCATTGACATCATCTGATGCATTTGTCAGGTTATTGGCAGAGTTCCCTGCTACTGGTGGGGTGGTGACCTCCTCGCAGTTTCAAACAGTGCGTCTCATTCGATATGCATCCAGCTGGGACTACTTTGTGGCTGTGTGTGAGGTGGCATTCTGCATTTTCATCATGTACTATGTGGTGGAGGAGGTGCTGGAGATCCGGATCCACCGCCTGCATTACTTCAAGAGCCTGTGGAACTGTCTGGATGTTCTCATTGTGGTGGTGTGTATCAAGATTGCATTTGGGATAAATAAAGTGATTTAATTACATAATTTTAAGAAGAGTCACTGACTTTGTTGTGTGCTCTTTCTGCTCTTTTTTCAGCTGAGTGTTGTTGCTATTATCATGAACATAACCAGAACAGCCATGGTTGGCAACCTTCTGAAAGGCCTGTTGGAGAACCACACAGCTCACCCCAGCTTTGAGCCTTTGGCCAACCTGCAGGTCCAGTTCAACAACATGGCTGCAGTCATTGTCTTTTTTTCCTGGGTCAAGGTATAAATCTTTAGCCTTTAGTTTGTAATCACAAACACACTACCATTGTGGAAACATGAGAACCCAACAGACTGATACAGTACTAACAATATTTTTTTATGTCCTCACAGCTTTTTAAGTTCATCAACTTCAATAAAACCATGAGCCAGTTGTCTAGCACTATGTCTCGCTGTGCCAAGGACCTGGTGGGTTTTGCCATTATGTTCTTCATTATCTTTCTGGCATATGCTCAGCTGGCCTACTTGGTTTTTGGAACCCAGGTCAATGACTTCAGCACTTTCCAAGCCAGCATGTAAGAACATTCAAAGCACAGCCTACAAATGTCGAATTGCAGACAGCAGATGTTTCCTGATGTTTAAAAATGTTGAAATGTTTTGCTGTTTGTGTAGTTTTACCCAGTTCCGTATCATCCTGGGAGACTTTGAGTTTTCTGAGATCGAGATGGCGAACCCAGTGCTCGGACCAATCTACTTCACCACCTTTGTTTTCTTTATTTTCTTCATTCTCATGGTGAGTAGGGGAGTCACATGTTGTGTTCAAGACACAACATATGTAATTGTGTTAACATACAGCTCTCTTTCTGTCTCTATAGAACATGTTCCTGGCCATCATCAATGACACATACTCTGAGGTGAAGGCTGATATGTCCCAGCAGAGGTCTGAGATGGAGATGACTGATCTCATTAAGAAGGTATTGAACTACATTTATCATTTACTTTGGCTTGGCAGGTTGCCTTTAAATTAACACTTGTCACCATGCCAATAATAACAGAAAGGCTAAGGGATCAGCAGTGGTGGAAGAAGTACTCCTGAGCCCCTACCTAAATAAAATTAGCAATACAATACAGTGTAAAAACTCTCTGTTAAGTAAAAGTCCTGCATTCAAAATGACACAAAATTATTAGCATCAAAATATACTTAAAGTACCAAAAGTAGAAGTACTCATTATGCAGAATGGCACACTTAACATTAATGTATATAATAATATTGGATTATAATTACTGATGCATTATTGTGAACGTCACATTTAATGTTGCAGCTGGTAAAGGGGGAGCTAGTTTTAACTACAGTACCTTATATGCTTTTAATTTGAATTACTGCAGGGTAGCTTGTGAATTACCAAGCAGGGATCAATGAAGTCAGATGATTATATTGTATTTTAACTAGTAACTAAAGTCAACAGATTAATGTGGTGGAGTAAAAAGTACAATATGTGCCTCTAAAATGTAGTGAAGTCAAAGTATGAAGCAGCAGAGAAAGATAATACTCAAGTAAAGTACAGATACCTTACTTACTTTCTATCACTGGGGATCAGAATGTACACCTGAAAGTGCTTTTTCTATTAATGCAATTTTTGGGTCTGGTTGTATCAACTAAATACAGATGTTAGAAAAATTTTGTTTACTTTTAGGTTACTTTTGCATCATATAGATTTTTTTAATGGATCCCTGAAACAGATTGCCATGCTTGGTCTAAAATTGACCCAAAACAACTATCAAAATATGCAGATAATCCCCGGATGTGTTACCTGACACACGATTCAACTCCCCCTCTTTCTTAGGGTTGCAACAAAGCTTTGATGAAGTTGAAACTGAAGAAGACGGCGGTTGACAGCATCTCCGATAGTTTACGTCAGGCCGGGGGCAAACTCAACTTTGATGAGCTACGTCAGGATCTTAAAGGGTGATGGAAACTTCAGATCCACGCTAAAAGCTATTATGCCACCTCTCTTGAGTGTGTTTTGATTTATGTTTTTCTTTGGTCAGAAAGGGCCACACTGATGCAGAGATTCAGGCCATCTTTGCCAAGTATGATCAAGATGGTGATCAGGAACTGACAGAGCATGAACATCAGCAAATGAGAGACGACCTTGAGAAAGAGAGAGTGAGTGATGATGCCATCACAGTTTGTGTTTTGGTGACTGATTCTAAATAAGAGACAGCACACCTTGCAAATACAGTATGTGGCAGCGCATACACAGCCATAGTACCTGCAGATTCTCAGTGTGTTTCTGCTCGTACGCTAGGAGGACTTGGATCTCGAACGCAATTCGCTGACTAGACCTAGCAGTGGGCGGAGCTTCCCTCGTACCCAGGACGACTCAGAGGAGGATGATGATGAGGACAGTGGCCACAGCTCTCGTCGCCGTGGCAGCAGCTCAGGGGGTGTCTCTTATGAGGAGTTTCAAGTGTATGTAGCTGTAGTGTTTATTATGCTATACACAGGTTAAGCAATGAATGAAAGCTGAACAACTAACTGATAATAAAAACGCAAGCAGCCTCAGGTCATGTCGTGTGTGGACGAAAGGGTCGTGAACTCAACTTAAACATTTTTTATGGATCCATTAAATGTAGTTATTAAAGAGTTGTTACCAAGATTTACTCAGCAAGACATTTTGCAGTTAAATTATAAAAATTTGTCAGTGCATTCTGGTGGAAAATTGTTTCTGAATTTTCTCAACTTATAATAATCTATTAGCATTTTCTTGTTTATTAGTGGCCTACATGTAAACCAAGACTAATCAGCTAAAACTGACTTAATACTGTCTAGCTGAGTCATCGGTCGGGCTCTACTTTGAGGTCCTCCTCTGCTCTCTGTATCCCAGGCTGGTGAGACGTGTGGACAGGATGGAGCACTCTATCGGCAGCATAGTTTCCAAGATAGACGCTGTGATTGTGAAGCTGGAAGCCATGGAGAGAGTTAAACTTAAAAGAAGAGATGTTCTCAGCAGGCTGCTGGATGGAGTCATGGAGGTGAGATGCAATGGACACACAGTCAGTGTGTTACACATTTTTAGTGTAAATAATCACTGTTTTTATATTACTGATTTTGGATTCCCTGTGGTGATGAATCTATAGAGAATTATCACCTGGCTGTGCAGTCTCCAGTATTTCTACAGAGGTTTATAGCATCTCAGCTCAGTGTGTTTGCTTCCTCACTGCTCTCATAGCACCAAAGGGGTCACTGCGTAATAATCCTTTAAAACATCTTATAAGGATCACAGTTTCTATAATCAAAACAGAAGATAGGAAAATGTTCAGACAGAAAATCTGAGTGCAGACAGCGGGATAAAATGAGAGAAAATGACACTTAGCGATGTATCTGTGCAAATTCTTCAAAATTAGTCAGGCTAAACCTGAAACTCATAGTTTATAGCCTCTAACTGCACCATCAGGCCTCTGATATACACACACACACACACATCACTCACTCAGGAAGCAGCATCTTAAATTACTAATGAAAATAAAATAAGTCATGCTTCCATAATGAGGTCAAGGGTCAGGGAGAAATTTACTGTAAACAGGTTTTGATAGTGCATGTTGACAGTTTTCCTATATAACCTGTTTTTTGTGTGCATCTATAACTGCACATAGTGTATAACATCATGTTTAACTTAATCTGTTTCCGTCTGTCAGGATGAGCGCCTGGGACGTGACCCAGACACCCACAGGGAGCAGATGGAGAGGCTGGTGAGGGAGGAACTCGAGCGTTGGGAATCAGATGATATGGGCTCGCAGGTCAGTCACCCACAGTTGGCCACTCCTGTTGGCCCTCGGCCCCGTCCGTCCTCTTCCTTGTCTACCGACGGCTTTGACACAAGCACAAATGTGAGCAGCCATGTGTGAAGACTTGGCTGGTCCTCCACTCTGGGAAGAAACTCTCTATTGGTGAAGCTGTTTAAATTCCTTAACATATTATCAAGGAGGTGACAAAGACAAAAGTACCTCAGCTCAAATATGTAAATGCACTGAAAGTGAGTGAGGATCTCCTGAGAGACACCTAAAAGTATTCTCTAATCTCTCTTAAGCTATTGTCAAGTGTTACTTAACAGGATGATGAGAGGCAATCTACAAATGTGTGAGAGGTGTTTAAAAATATTTTACAGTAGTGTTAAATAACGGTGTTAAACATAGTACTGGATATACAGTAATACACAAGCCTGCAGATGTACTCAGAATTTAGTATTACACGCTCAGCTGCTTCAGATCAGTGTATCCACGTTTTATCATTTCAACAGATACCAAAAAGGCTTTTTTCCAGTGTTAATTTTGATGATTATTTTTTCATCATTTTAATATACAGTAGGTACAAGTGTGGTGCATTCTGTCAAATCTACTCATCTTCTGTATATTAATTAAGCTTCAAATGACAGCCTATTATGATACATGTTGTAACATGAAACAAACTTCGATTTGGAGTGCATCTAGTGTTCATGGGAAGCCCATGCATTTATTATTTTTTCCCTGTGCCTTACTTTTTAAAAACAGATGTCTTTTTTAAACTGTTCTACCAAATAAAGTGTTATGAAAAGGTTTTATTTATCAGTTTTTGTTTTCTTCAGGTTTTAAGCTCAGTGATTTGCCCATGGTATGCTCATTTTACTCATTTCTAGCCTGTACAGGAACATTCTCAGACATGCAGTAACCTCAGGCCCTGTATTTTTCTCCACATCCTCTGGTCACAGTGTAGCAGCAGGAGGGAAAACAACATCCACAGGCGCAGTCGAAAAATTCTGCTTTCCGAATGGCACTTGTGGATGTTTTTTAAATAAGCTTTATTGAAAATATATATAACATATACAGCATTTTGCCAATATGGTGGGGGCACCGGTGGATGCCAGGCAAGCTCACATGAATGTGCAAAGGCCTGGATTTTATGCCTGTTCAAGGAGATCCTTAAACTATCACGTAATAATTTATTGTGGTAGAAAAAAGTTTCACAAGCGAGCGTGCAAGTCGTGTATAAACTGAGTTGTTTCTGCATAGAAATACTAGAAGATACATTCACCTCATTTTTTGATCTTTAGGTCACGTCTAAGATAATTCACCACTGTAACATTGTAGACAAGTTAAAAAACAAGGAACAGCATGCCATGGGCTCTTTAATAAAAAAAAAGTTCAATATGAAGTTGTTATATTGTTATATAAATAAATGAACTAAGGTTTTTCACTACACGTTTTGTTAAGTGGTCACTGTACATAGTGATCAGCCATAACATTATAACCACCTGCCTAATACTGTGTATACAGGGATCAATGTTGCAGTTGGTTGGCACTCGTGTCACTCTGAGGCTGAAAGAGCACAAATCTGTCTATCATTTAGCAATAAAAACAAAAATGTGTAAAAACTGTGGCTGTGAGGACAAGTTAGAGATAATTTTTCTCAACTCCAGGTGTGACATCACCACTATAGCTGCTGAATGATTCTTTTCATAGAGACCAATGCACAGTATTTCTCATATTCACCCATTTTAACAAATATCATACAAAATGGAAAGTTTTGAAAAGGATGAATGAGATTTAAAAGTTTCATCCTCAGCAGATCAACCTCATCATCAGTGAGCCTTGGGCGTCCATGACCCTGTCACCAGTTCACTGTCTGTCCTTCCTTAGACACTGTTGGTAGGTACTAACCACTGCAGACCAGGAACGCCCCAAAAGACCTGTGGCCTGGGAGATGCTCTGACCCGGTCTTCAACCATCACAGTTTAGCCTTGTCAAAGTCACTCAAGATCCTTATGCTTGTCCATTTGCCTGCTTTCAACACATCAACTTCGAGGACTGAATCTCCATGTACTGCCTAATGTACCCCTCACACTGACAGGTGCCACTGTAACAAGATAATCGGTGTTATTCACTTCATCTATCAGTGGTCATAACATTATGGCTGATCAGTGTATACTGTACGTCAATCATGGAATGAACTTGCCTGTCATAACACATTTCCTCATTACAAAGACAACATAATTTCTGATGTGTAGTTTTTAATTTAAGTGCCACAACTTAGAACAAAAATACAGTACTAACATTTGTTGGAATAGTCACATTTAGATCCCCGATACAAGCCCTCGGGTAGAATGATTATATTTGAAAGGCAGTGAAATAAATGCAGCAAAGAAACATGGACACACTGAAAGGAAACTAACAGATGAAGAGTCTTGGAAGGAGGATGTGTTGAGTAAAAACACAAAGTATTACAGTAAATGTGAATGTAGGAGGAAAAACAGTATTCACAAAACATTTACAAATGCTATTTGAGATGAAAATGCCATGTAACACCTGCAAGTCTCAGACAGAAAAACAACTGATTTGCGTTTGTCTAGCTTTAAAAACCACAAAGCAAAAGATCACAGCAACAGTGAACAAAACTATCAACTCAAGTCTGGACATGTGCCCACTGGCATTAGGTCAGCCAAGACAACGTGACCGTGTTTTATAGTCATGAAGGGTATTTAAGCATTAAGCAAACATTTACATTGTCATCCAAGGCCCTTAGCTGGACAATTCTTTAGTGTTTCATTAAGTGAGCTTTGCTCTTTTTGAGTGGCGTAAATGAGGAATTATTGATTTGTAAGCAAGTTGCAATCAAAATTATGTAACTTTACACAAGCACCTAAACAAAGGTCCTGTACAGTAGGTGTGAAACATTCTGATATAAAGAGCTTTAGTCTAGATATTTCCTAGCCTAAATGTTAACAGAGAATCTTCCAGATGTACATAAATAGAATTATTTACAAAACATAAATTGTACATTTCTGTAGTCTGAACACTTCACAGCGCCCTAACAAGACGTTTGACATTGGTACAGATATTAACACCTATACAAGCTTGAGTAATGTTTAAATTGCAAAAACCACAAGAATCACTGAACATTCTGGATTTTCTTAAACCATTACAATTGTGCCAGTGGGCATCTGTGCGTTTCAGGAGTCCTTTAATAAAAAAAATAAAATAAAATAAAATAAAGTATAGGACTTTGGAAGCCCTTATGAGACAAGTTTAAAAAGAGCAACAGAAACTATAACCGTTTCCATAAAATCTTAATTTAGTTGCTTTAAACCAAAAGGAAGCTCCAGTATAGACACACAGTCATTAAGAACAATCACAAACTTATTTTGCTCATGAAAATTATACTGTAGCTGCTTCAGAAGTTGTACATTACATATAAAACCTCACATTTAAATATTTTCGCATTCTCAAACAGTTCATCTTAATTAACTGATAAATTAATGCAGTCAGTTATTGTAGTTTCCCACTCTCGTCTATGCATGTAGTCCTATTGTTAACATTGAAAAGTGGTCCAAAATGAAAGAATGCAGATTTAAATCCAGATGCAATATTCCCTAAATTTACCCTTGAGAATAAAAAAGTGCAAACATGGGATTTATGAAAAGATAAACAGATCAGACATTTCTGAACAGCAGACAGTGAGGAATACTAGTTTTAAAATGTTAACCAGGTTATGTATCTGCTAAGAGATGGTTCATAGAACGTCATGAAGTCTGGTCTGCAATTCAAACGCTTCTCAGTGTTTAGCACCTATAAGGTTATTGGCTTACTAGAAGATAAAACCTTGTATAAAGAGAATGTTTTTCACCTTAACGCATGTTATGAATTCACCACCCCTTACTTCACAAAGGCTAATGCTACTCAAAATAACCCTTAGGTATTACTGTTTGGACAAACCACACTTTAAAATATTTCCTCATGGGCACTGTTGTTTGATTGTATTGCACACATTAATTAGGTCCACAGAACACACCTTTTCATCCAAGGTCCCACTCACTACCCCCAGCGACCGCTGGACATGAAACTTCGACTGAAGGAGAAGCTCGTGTCTGAACTTTTATGCTTTCCCCAAGCACCAAAGGGCACCACGATAATTGTGCTGTTGTCCTCTGAGCCATACTGAAGAGCCTGAGAAAAAAGAGAAGTGTAATAAATAAAAGAATAATGAACATACATTACCAGTCAAAAGTCCTAAAGATCGCCTCCATCTTCCCTGTTTTTACCCTGCCTACAGCCTAGGAAGAGGACATTTTACAAAAGACTAAGCTACTTTCACTATAAGCTGATGATTTTGACTAAAAGCTAGTTTTTGGAAGCATTTTGATTGGTCTGTCTAACTCAAGATAATCACAAACCTCTCCAGATTTTTGCACATTATGAGTTTTCACTGTGAACTTAAGAAAAAGCATAGTATGAATGTCTTGCCTGCTCAGATATTCTCTGAGCTGCCTCTTTGGGGTCGTGGCACTGGTTGATGACGTTGCAGATCTCCTGGCTGTTCATAATGAAGTTTATGCCATCTGTGGTCAGCGCCAGGAATGAGTCATGGACATGGTGCAACTGCAAAAAAGGTAACATTTCTAATATTATTTACACTATTTTAGATATTTCAGTGAAATATCACAGTAGCTTATAAGAACACAGACAAAACTTTAAAAAGGTTGTTGGATCATTGAAAACGCAGATAAGAAAAACACCTCAATACATAGTGATACAACCTCTTTATGAACCTATTTACAGATTGAGAGAAATGTGCATTGCTGGTTATGTTGCCAAATAGGAGAGCACCGTAAATGACAAAGTAGTACATGGCTGCATTTATATAGTGCCTTTTTCCAAAATGCATCTCATTCACCCATTTACCAATGGCTGCAAGCTCCCATATGATGTGTTGGGCTAACCAATAGGATCCGCTTCAGGTTCGGTGTCTTGCTCAGAGACATGTAGACAGGAGGAGGTGGGGATCAGACTGCTGACCCTGCAACAGTGAACAACCCACTCTACCTCCTGAGCTACAGCCAATATACATATTCATTGTAAACTATTTTCCTAAGCAGGGAATGTAGACTAAAATGTCATTGTAAATATTACCTCCTATTAGGGCTGTATCAACTGTCAGTGTGACTATTCCCTCTTTTTTTTTTTTTTAAATATATATGTATATATAGCCTAAACTGTCAGAAAATCAACTGGCATGAATTTCAGTGATGAGTTCGACCACATTAACATCAGTAATCAAATGCAAAAGAGTGACAGGAACATATGACTGGGCGATACATTAGTCCAGAAGTACGGAGTTGGGAGAGCAGAATTTCTCCAGTACCAACAGTTAAAATCCATAATTAAATCAACGATCAATATAATCAACATCCCACTACAACCTTCCACGCTAGCTGAGGGGGAAGTACTGATCAAACTGTTGTTTGGCACAACAAAATGAGGAGAAGATGACAAACTAATGTTAGCTGTGGCTGCCTTCTATTGTAATGTAAACTAATGCAATGCAAAATAAAATATAATAAAATAAAAACAAAGGAGTCTCAGCCGACTGATGGGCCTCTCAACTAATGATTCGACAAGTCGACTTTCGGTGGCAGCCCTAGCTGCCATAATTTTTACTGGGGTAATGTTCACATTTATACAATAGAAGCTGCTCAGATATAGATAAGAGTAAAGATGTACTGTCTTATTCATTTATACAAACACTGCTGACATTCTTTAAATCTGCTAATGACAAGCTGAACTTGACAGCAGATCACCTCTTAAATGCTGGCACAAAATATTTAGCTTATAATTCTTGTATGACTTAGGATAATGCGTCCAGTGGACAAATATGAAATACGTATCCTAAGTTGCACCACTTTACATAAACCTACTGATATTCTTTTGGTCTCAGGCTCAGCGATGACCCCGCTCTTCTTCAGGTCAAAGTCTCCAATGCTGCGTGTCATCGCCAACCTGCCGTTGACATTTGGCTGCCCCAGACTATTCCAGGTAATAAAACCCCCACTTCTCTTTATCCTTGATGCAAGGGCAGAGGGCAGAGGGCGGGGGGACAAAGAATTGCTTCAGTTCAGTTATTTTAACAGTAAAGTTGATAATATCCTTCTTAGGCCAATTACTGCAGGCTACAACTCTTCTCCTTTCAGGTTAGTGCCATGAAATAGCACTCAAAAAAGACTTCTCTACTTCCAAAAACTAAGTGGTGAGCTTAGTTACAAACAATAAAATGTATGTAATTGCTTGATCAGGAATTAAGAACATAATAAAGCCTAATTACTAATTACCAATATCTGCTCATGTGAAAACTGGGTGACGTAATTCTGGGAATTATGTGGAGCCCTCACAAGCTATGTGCTAACAGGAGAACAGACAACAACCTTGCAAAAATCTAATGAAAACATCTGATAACATCAAGTTTCATACTCAATTTATGGATTTTTGTCTAAACTGACAAATGTCCCATTACTGACAACATCTAGGCACCTCTCTTTCTCGTCCTTCCTCTCAGGAGTGTGGTCGACAGTGAGTTTAAGGGCCTTGCCCTTACGGCACAGCATAGCGCGGCTGTCACCCACACTGCCCACCACCAGCTCAATGCCGTCTCTCAGCAGGGCCACAGTGGCAGTGGTTCCGGCATTCATCCCAGGATCTACAGAGACATAAAAGGAAACATCAGAGGTGGAACGAATCATAAAGGCCCACACTGTTCATAACCACCACATGGAGTATCGCACACTCTCACATACACTAAAACATAAACAAGAGTGGGAAGTGGACTTACAGAATACTAGACATTACACAGTAAACAACAGAGGAGGTAGTCACACATGCAGGTCAAACTGTTTCGGTAGAGTTGAGGTCCAGAGCAAAATTTACAGCAGAGTTACGTCTAATACCACATGTTAACAGCTGACACAGTACTTGGACATTTTCAAAAAGCAGCACATAAATTCATTTTAAAAATGCTAACTACTTCAATAATGTTCACTGGTTTTGTTTGTGGGAAAAAACACCACTAATTTGTCAAAAAAGGAAAATGAAATGATTTTAATTTTTTGGTACTTGATAATTATAACCTGTAACAATTCTTATTACGATGTCTAAATCAATTTAGTACTATGACTCCAGCCAACTTTATGTGTTTGGCAAAGAATGTGTGAGCAGTGGATACATAACTATACATTACCATTAAACGTCAGCATCAAATGTCATAAAATGTATTTATCTGCTGACATTTATAGGCCTTTATTACACCTTTCTCTCTCCAAACAAATACATTAAATGACTAACTCTAGGTTTTACACTGTGTGTGTGTGTGTTGTTTTCTAAGCCTAATCTGTATAACAAACATGTTGCACCTCATGGACTAGATCTGACACTGACAACACACATCTCATACAACTTGTCAAACTGAAGTACTGTCTCACAAGAAGCTTTGCATACACTTGATCAGAGGAGAAAAGGGAGAGAGAGAGAGAGAGGAGTGAGAGAAAGATAGGGAACCTTCCAGTAGTCCAGGATTTAGGACCCGCTGGACTCTCCTTCAATATCTAGCCTCTCGTCATCCACATTGGTGCCAAGGGCCTCCAGCTCTTAGCTGGGTCTGCAGCTGCCGTAGATAACATGCACACACACACACACAGGCATATTGGGACATTTCACACAGCGCGGCCGATGTACAGTATGGCCACATAATAGCTATAGCTTTATATCAAGAGATATCCTTAATGAGACATAATGCTGCTTGAGAACTAACTTGCAAAAGTGTCTGTATGACACGTAGACCGCATAATTTACTGAGATAGACGTTTTGCGTTAATTTGTTTGATAGATGCTCAAATTACCCCAAATATTAATTTCACTGCCCATGCTAGGTTCTATAGTTTGCAGCTTGATAAAACATCAACAGATGGGTGACAAATTAAAGGAAACAAGACATGGGCAACCACAAACCTTTAAACAGCTCATTGGCAAAGTTCTCTACAATTCTCGTGACTTATCCTGAAAGATGTGGATGCCATTCTATCAAAGCATATTCTCTCATTTGGAGTTTCTGATGGAGGAGGGTGTTGTCTAACACACTGGAGTTTAACTGGGGTTAGATCTGGTGACTATGAAGACCACAGAATACAACTCATATCATTTTCATAAACCATTACATGACATTAATGGTTTTCAACCATTAAAACCATTATTCATTATATTAAACAAACAAACATACTCCAGTTGTGCCTTTAATTTGTCTCCTTTCTGTATGTACAGATTCAGTACTGGAAGCAGTCAAGCACTAGTGTTTGTTCTACTTGTAGCTGGTTTATTGTTCAGCAATTATTTAGTAACTTTGGGCTAAATGACAGACCTCTAGGCCATAAGTGCTCGGGTCATGTCAGTTGGGAAATCCAAGGCTTCAAAGCCTAAGTAGGATAAGCAAGTTAGGCTTTGAAGAGAGGAGAAAATGTGTCATTACATTTTTAAATATATACATATACATATATATATATA